ACTTTTTTTTTTCTCTCCCCTCCCTGATTAAGCACATCATAGTATTCCCTGGAAGTGGGTATAATCAACATGATGAAACATTTAAAGAGGCTCACAATAGCAGTGTTGATCCTCTTGGATTTCTTTTCTTTCCAGTATTTTAATGTGTCTGGAAAGCATTTAAGTTCATCTTTGACTAGAGAGAAAGTGACCAAAATGCTTTCTGAATTCTCCCTTGATTTCTTGTTAAACGTGGAGATGTGGCTGAGTTTCCCCAATTTGGTTCACTTTAGAGAGCTAATTTCAGGTACCTTATTTGTCCCTTTTCCTTCTTTTCTCCTGCCCTATTTCTTATGAAATACTGGATTATCAAAGAGAAGGGGAAAAAAAATCAGCAAATACTTAATAAGTGTTCTCTATGTGCCTGGCACTGCACTAGTTTCTGGTGATAGTAAACTGTGGAGACCTAGACAATGTCTTTATGAACCTTAGAATCCAACAGTTATCTTTGACTTTTGATGGGCAACAGTCATTGACAACCCTTTAAAATACATATACCAGGAAACCCACTGAGTCAGAAGTTTCTTTACTGGCCTAGCATTTTAAAAGCTGTATGGGCAAAATAGTATGATCCAGGCCGGGTGCGGTGGCTCACACCTGTAATCCCAGCACTTTGGGAGGCTGAGGAGGGTGGATAATGAGGTGAAGAGATCGAGACCATCTTGGTCAACATGGTGAAACCCCGTCTCTACTAAAAATACAAAAAAAACTTAGCTGGGCACGGTGGCGCGTGCCTGTAATCCCAGCTACTCGGGAGGCTGAGGCAGGAGAATTGCCTGATCCCAGGAGGCGGAGGTTGCGGTGAGCCAAGATTGCGCCATTGCACTCCAGCCTGGGTAACAAGAGCGAAACTCCGTCTCAAAAAAAAAAAAAAAAAAAAAAAAATAGTATGATCCAAAAGCTGATAACTACTGGCCTTGTGAAACATTATTTCTTGGATGCTTTGTGTGGTAACTGGAGAGGAAGCAGAGGAAGATTTGACTTAGGAGATGACACTTAAAATGGATCTGGGATACACACTGAAGTATTAAGGGGTAAAAGGACATGATGTACTCATAAATGGTTCAAAAAATATTACATGTAGATGAAAATTAGTCAGATGTTAAAAATTGGTGAATCTGAATTAATATGTAGAACATATACAAGAATTCACTACACTATTCTTTCAACATTTCTCTAAGTTTGAAATTACTTCAAAAGAAAAGAGTTGAACAAAGAGAAAACTGTAGAAGTTACATAAGATTTCTTATTTTTTCTTTCTCTTTTCTTTCTTTCTTTTTTTTTTTTTTGAGACAGAATCTCACTCTGTTGCCCAGACTGGAGTGCCGTGGGTGTAATCTCAACTCACTGAAACCCCTGCCTCCCAGGTTAAGCAATTTTCCTGCCTCAGCCTCCTGAGTAGCCATGATTACAGGCGCCTGTCACTACACCCAGCTAATTTTTGTATTTTTAGTAGAGACGAGGTTTCACCATGTTGGCCAGGCTGGTCTCAAACTCCTGACTTCAAGTGATACGACCGCCTCGGCCTCCCAAAGTGCTGGGATTACAGGCATGGGCCACTGTGCCCAGCCATAAAGTTGCATAAGATTTCAATAAGCAGAGATAGGCTGGGGACAGGTGGCATTGAACAATGGAAAGAATAAGTATTCCAGGCAGAAGTGACAGAGTGAGCACAAGATGAGCAAAGGCAAAGCAGACTAGAGTTAATGGTGTGAGATCAGAGACCAAAGGCAGTCAGCTGGGACTGAACTACAAGTTGCAGTGGAAGAAATCCGCGAAGCCCGATTATGAAGCTCCATGTATGCCTTGCAAGGAGTTTATTCATTATTTAAACTAGCAGTTACAAGTAGGATGCACACACTACAGGGAGAGAGAAAAATATGTTGGGATGCAGGAAGAAAATTCCTTAACTTCTCTTTGTGGTTGGCTGCGGTGACTTATGCCTGTAATCCCAGTACTTTGGGAGGCTGAGGCGGGTGGATCACCTGATGTCAGGAGTTTGAGACCGGCCTTGCCAACATGGCAAAACCCTGTCTCTACTAAAAATACAAAAATAAGCCAGGTATGATGGTGGGTGCTTGTAATCCCAACTACTCGGGAGCCTGAGGCAGGATTATTGCTTGAACCTGGGAGGCGCAGGTTGCAGTGAGCCAAGATTGTTGCACCATTGCGCTTCAGCCTGGGCAACAGAGTGGGACTCTGTTTCAAAAAACAAAACAAGACAAAAAACTTCTATTTTTATATAGTTACTTCTTTACCTCTTTTTTTTTTTTTTCTGTGAGACACAGTTTTACTCTTGTTGCCCAGTCTGGAGTGCAATAGCACCATCTCGGCTCACTACACTCTCTGCTTCCTGGGTTCTAGTGATTCTCCTGCTTCAGCCTCCCAAGCAGCTGGAATGATAGGCATGTGCCACCACACTAAGCTAATTTTTGTATTTTTGGTAAAGAAGGAGTTTCGCCATGTTGGCCAGGTTGATCTGAAACTCCTAACCTCAGGTGATCCGCCCACCTCAGCCTCCCAAAGTGCTTGGATTACAGGCAAGAGCCACCATGCCAGGCCTTATTTACCTCATTTAAAAAAAATATATTTTATGTGTTTTAAAGTGTGGATAATATCTTAGCACCAGAATGTGTATACAGTTTATAAATAAATATACATACTGGGGTTCCTTTAAAATATTTTTGCTATCAAAATTGGAAAACTAGTCTTTAGACATTTTCCTGCCTTGTAACCAGAGTGGTATTTTTAAAACGCAAAACTGATTATATCAGTTCCTATGTGTATGTGTAGTTTTTTTTCTTCTTTTTTTGAGATGGAGTCTCACTCCATTGCCCAAGCTGGAATGCAGTGGTGCGATCCTGGCTCGTTGCAACCTCCGCTTCTCAGTTTCAAGTGATTCTCCTGCCTCAGCCTCCCTAGTAGCTGGGACTACAGGTGCCCACCAACCATGCCTAGCTAATTTTTTTGTATTTTTAGTAGAGACGGGGTTTCACCATGTTAGCAAGGATGTCTTGATTTCCTGACCTCGTGATCCGCCCACCTTGGCCTCCCAAAGTGCTGGGATTACAGGCATGAACCACCACACCCAGCATATATGTGTAGTTTTTTTTTTTTTTTTTTTACCAACTGTTCTTTCTCCTCAGGATAAAGTCCAAATCTGAATCAGATTTTAATGTGGCTTTAAAAGTTCTTCTTAATCTAGTTTCTATACACCATGTATGCCAGCTTCATCATTGGATCCCTACATCAAGTTGTTCATGGTTTAAGCTAAGCTCTTTTAGTTCTTCAAATGCGCTGTTTTTATTCCAGATGACTCTTCTACATAGAACTATCCTCGCTTTTTTTTTTTTTTTTTTTTTTTAAGATGGAGTCTTGCTCTGCTGCCCAGGCTGGAGTGCAGTGGTGCCATCTCGGCTCACTGCAACCCTCTTAAATTGCTTTAACCCAGCTTAAAGCAATTCTCCGGCCTCAGCCTCTGAGTAGCTAGGACTACAGGCATGCACTATAACACCTGGCTAATTTTTGGATTTTTGGTAGAGATGGGTATTCACTGTGTTGGCCAGGCTGGTTTCGAACTCCTGACCTCAGGTAATCCACCCACCTCTACCTCCCAAAGTGCTGGGATTACGGGTGTGAGCCACTGTGCCTGGCCTCATTAAAAAAAAAAAAACTATTTCATCTGGTTAATTTTAATTTATTATTCAGATTTTAGCTTAAGTGTTGCTTCCTCAGACAGCCCTCTTTTGATCTGTTGACTCCCTGGACAAGGTAATAACATTACTCTTTGCATAGATTCTCATAGCTCTATAACTTTCCTTTTTCGTGTTTTTTTTGTTGTTTTCTTTGGTTTTTTTTTTTTTTTTTTGGTTTTTGGTTTTTTTGTTTTGACAAGATCTCACTCTGTCACCCAGGCTGGTGTGCAGTGGCACAGTCATGGCTCACTGCAGCCTCGACCTTCCAGGCTCAAGTGATTCTCCCACCTCAGCCTCCTAAGTAACTGTGACTACAGGACTATGCCACCATGCCCAGTTAACCTTCTAGTATGTTTTGTAGAGACAAAGTTTCTCCATGTTGCCCAGGCTGGTTTCGAACTCCTGAGCTCAAGGGATCTTCCCACCGTGGCCTCCTAAAGTCCTGGGATTACAGGTATGAACCACCATACCTGGCCGCTTTTTGCATTTTTATTGGTTTCAAGTTCTGGGACAGGAACCATGTTTCTCTTGTACACTCACTTATCCCAGTGGAAATGCTTGGAGCATTAAGTTCACAGTAGATATTTGTTAAAAACAAATGGGTCCTCATTAAGTAAATACGAATCCAAATGATAATGAAATACCATTTCAAATCCACTAGAATGGCTGTAATCTCAAAGATAGCCAGTGATAAATATTGGCAAGATATGGAGAAATTAGGGAATATAAGATGGTACCAATACTCTGAAGAACACTTCCTCAAAATACTAAACCATGTGACCCAGAAATTTCACTCTGAAGTATATATGAATGAATGAAATAAAAACATATGTCCACATAAAAACTTGAATATGAGTCTTCACAGCAGCACTATTCATAATAGCCAAAATGTAGAAACAAACTAAATGTCTTTTTTTTTTTTTCCTTTTTTGAGACAGAGTCTCGCTCTGTCGCCAGGCTGCAGTGCAGCAGCGTGATCTCAGCTCACTGCAACCTCTGCCTCCCAGGTTCAAGCAATTCTCCTGCCTCAGCCTCCTGAGTAGCTGGGACTACAGGTGTGCGCCACCATGCCCGGCTAATTTTTGTATTTTTAGCAGAGACGGGGGTTTCACCATGTTGGCCAGGATGGTCTTGATCTCTTGACCTCATGATCCACCCACCTTGGCCTCCCAAAGTGGTGGGATTACAGCCGTGAGGCACTATGCCCAGCTCTAAATGTCTTTCTTAGCTTGGGCTGCCATAACAAAATACCATAGACTAGGTGGCTTAAGCAACAGACATTTATTTCTCACAACTCTGGAGGCTGGGAAGTCCAAGAACAAGGTGGAATTTAATTTGTTTCCTGGTGGGGAACCAAAACCAAAAAACTTCTCCTTCCTGCCTTGCAGATGGTCACTTTCTTACTGTGTCTCACATGGCCTTCCCTCTGCTTGTGCTGTGGAAAGAGAAGCAAGCTTCAGTCTCTTCCTCTTGTAAGGGCACTAATCCCATCCTGGGGACCCCACCCCCACATGACCTCATCACCTCCAAAGGTCTCACCTCCAGATATCATCACATTAGGGGTAAGAGCTTCAACATACGAATTGGGGAGTTGGGGAGACCGGCATACAAACATTCAGTACATAGAAAGGTCTACCTGATGAATGGATAAATAAAATATGGTATGTTCATATAATGGAATATTATTATGCATCCATAAAAAGGATGAATCACTGATGCATGTTATGACATAAATGAACTTTGAAAATATGCTTAAGGGAAAGAAGCTAGACATAAGACTATATGATGTATGATGCCATGCATATGAAATGTCCCCAACAGGCAAATCTATAGAGACAAAGTAGATTAATGATTGCCCAGGACTGGAGGGGTTGAGAGAAAATGGAAAGTGACTGCTACTGGGTATAGGCTTTCTTTTGGGGGCGAAGAAAACATTCTAAAATTGGGTTGAGGTGATGATGTCTGCACAACTCTGAATATACTGAAAACAGTTGAATTGTATACTTCAAATGAATTTTATGTGAATTATATCTCAGTAAACCTTATAAACTTTAGCAAAACTTGGTGATTTGCTTTAAAGGGGCAAAACATAAAATATTGCATTGAGAATGCTGTTCTTTACATGTTTTCGGACTCTAAATGTCTAGAAATGTCAGTTGTGGGAGAGTACTTTTTAAAAGAAAGGAAAATAACAAAGAAAAGGGAAGAGTAAACCTAGTAGCCACCAGAAAGATAATCCATTAGAATACTTTTTTATATGTTACCCATATTCTTGATAGGAAATAAATTGTAGAGATGTCTAAAAAGTCAGGCATTTAATGGTTCTGTGAGCGAAAGCAGGGAAAATAATCAGACTTTTAATGCTATATAATTTACCAGTAGCAAGAGAATATTTTGAAAAGATTTTGATGAAAACAGTCCTTGAATGAGGCCATTCTACCTTTCAAGATGAATAACCAACCCATTTCACTTTTTTTTACTTTAGAGTATGTTGTTACAGTGTGACTTTAAATAACTTAAACTTATTTTTTTCCTTTACATTGAATAATGAATCCACCTTTGTTCTTTCCAATGACTTTTTTTGGGAAAAAAGACACAAACCACCCCACTTCCTTATTTCTCTAATGAGATGAGTGCAATAACTATCTTATTTTTCTCTTCATTTTGAGTAGTAAAAATTATGTAATAACAATTTATATAGTGATTTTTTTAAAGGCAAGAATAACATATAGTTTGAAATTTTTTCTCAGGTGGCTTCATACAAATTATCTAATGATACCCTACTTACCATGTTTGTTGGGCTAAATCCTATGTATCCTTAAGTTTAATCTGTACCATCATGCTTGCCTTCTTGGATTTCCTTCACAAGCTTTCCTCCTCTGGGCTTCCATGGTACTGAACATATATCTCCATGTACTGGCACTGTCTGTTTATCTGCCTGTCTCTTTTATTAGACTGTATGTTTCGTTAAGGCCAATGACTGGATCTTATCTTTGTACTTCAGCATCTATAATTGAATTTGGCAAACAGGATGTGCTCAGTAAATTCTGAACTAAACAGAATCAGGAAAAAAGCTTTATTAGATGTTATACGGACTGATACTTCATCAGTTAAATTTTTTAAGCTGAAGCATAGAATTTTTTTTAAATTTGGGGTATTGAACATTTGATATATTGAAGCATAGAATTATTGAATACATATATACATGAAGTTTTGTTTTTAATTCTTATTGTTTTGTTTTTGAGACAGAGTTTCACTCTGTCACCCAGGCAGGAGTGCAGTGGCAGAATCTCAGCTCACTGCAACCTCCATCTCCCAGGTTCAAGTGATACTCTGACCTTAGCCTCCCGAGTATCTGGGACTACAGTTGTGCACCACCATGCTTGGCTAATTTTTGTATTTTTAGCAGAGATGTGGTTTCACCATGTTCACTAGGCTGATCTCAAACTCCTGACCTCAAGTGATCTGCGTGCCTCAGCCTCCAAAGTGCTGGGATTACAGGTGTGAGCCACTTCACATGGCCTGAAGTTTTATTTTTGTTAAAACATATCACTGTATATAATCTTTGACAATTATTTAACATAGGAAATGACCTTTGAATGAGAGACCCTAATTTTAGTTCTACTTACTCTTTTTTGCCTTAAAAACAAATATAAAGACCTAAAATGAAAATAGTTTATTTAAAATGGAGGCACTTGGGAAGAACTTAGGACATGAACACCACATCTTTTTATTTTTTTATTTATTGTTTTTTTTATGTATTAATAGAGATAAGGTCTCGCTGTGTTGCCTAGGCTGGTCACGAATTCCTGCATTCAAGCAATCCTTCAGCCTTAGCCTCCCAAAGTGCTGGATTACAGGCCTGAGCCTATGTGCCCTTAATCTTTTTAGATTTTTACTGTTTTTCCCAGTCTATAATAGATATCCAGTCACACCTAATTCAACAATAATTTTTTTTTGAGACAGAGTTTTGCTCTTGTCATACAGACTGGAGTACAATGGTATAGTCTCAGCTCACTGCAACCTCCTTCTTCTGGGTTCAAATGATTCTCCTGCCTCAACCTCCTGAGTAGCTGGGATTACAAGGCACCTGCCACCATGCCTGGATAATTTTTGTATTTTTAGTAAAGACAGGGTTTCACAATGTTGGCCAGGCTGGTCTTGAACTCCTGATCTCAGGTGATCCACCTTAGCTTCCCAAAGTGCTGGGATTACAGGCATGAGCCACCACACCCAGCTAGCAAATCATTTTTATTGAGTCTGTTTTAAGCATTTTAAATAGTTCTTGGAGAAACAACTCTTTCTGCAGTCATAGTTCTGATAAGCAAATACATGGTATCAACAGGTTCAGGAACAAACTGACTGGCTCTTGGTAAGCATATACCTTAGCCATTTGGATCGGCAGTGCAAAGGAGTAGCTAACCAGCTATGAGCATTAAAATTTATCCTGAGAAGGTTGGGCATGGTGGCTCACACCTGTAATTCCAGTACTTCGGGAAGCCAAGGCAGGTGAATCACCTGAGTTCAGGCGTTCGAGACCAGCCTGACCAACATTGAGAAACCCTGTCTCTACTAAAAATACAAAGTTAGTCAGGCATGGTGGTACATGCCTGTAATCCCAGCTACTCAGGAGGCTGAGGCAGGAGAATCACTTGAACCCAGAAGGCAGAGGTTGTGGTGAGCTAAGATTGTGCCATTGTACTCCAGACTGGGCAACAAGAACTAACTCTGTATTAAAAAAAAAAAAAAAAAAAAAAAAAAAACCTTATTCTGAGCATCAGATAATATATTTTACAGAAATAATGGAATATTTTTAGTCTAGTAAGTCACTTAGTAGAGGGAATTTAAGAGAACTTATATTGTACTTCTTTTCTACACCAAAATTTCATCAATTGTAGCAGTTACTCAGGAGTCAGCTATATCTTGCCACTAGACTTTATAACCTTCGTTATCCTTAACTCAGTGTTGTAATGTCTTATTATCTTCTCAAGTAGCTTTGGCCACCCACAAAGAATTCATGCTAATGGTTTTTTTATTTGTTTGTTTTAATTTCAGTGGTAGGAATGGGATCCTGGTGCTTCCACATGACTCTGAAATATGAAATGCAGGTTAGTAATGACAAAATTGACAAATACTTATTTCTCTTAATTCAGAGATAATTCAGATTTAAGAAAAGCACATAACTATGGCTAAAAGATGGGATTTATAATCTCTGGAGTTTTTTACTTCAAGTCTGAGGATCCATATTGACTAAGTGAAGTAAAGAAATAAACAGGTGAGTTCATAAAGAAAACAAGTAGAAATAGTATAGGGCTTTCTGACTGTGTCTGTGCAGGCATATACAACTGAGAGCAGCATTAGAGAGTAGAGTCATGTGGAGACATCTTAAACAGACATAATCAATTCACCAGAACAATATATTCTTATTCTGAGATACCTGCTTTCTTTCATGTCTCTATGGCATCCATTTGAATGGTCTGGGTCCCTGTAGGCAGCAAGACTTTAGAGCAAGCTTGTCGAACCTTCGGGCTGAATGTGACCCAGGATGGCTTTGAATGTGTCCCAATACAAAATTCGTAAACTTTCTTAAAATATTATGAGGGTTGTTATTTTTTAAGCTCATCAGCTATCGTTAGTGTTCATTTTGTGTGTGGCTCAGGGAAGCCAAAATATTGGACTCCCCTGCAGAGCTAGCCAAAGATTTTTAGTTTCCATCCTTATTCTATGGAGGGCATATATGTCAAGTCCTCAGTTTTTGATCTCTTGATTCCTCATTACTAATCCAGAGACTTCTAGAACAGTAATAGAAATAAAATATGAGCTACATTTGTAATTTAAATTTTTCTAGTAGCTACACTGAAAAAAGTACACAGAAATTGGTGAAATTAATTTAATAATATATTTTATTTAACCCAGTATATCTAAAATATTACTTCAGTATATATCATCAATATAAAAATTTATGAATAAAGTATTTCATATTTTTAAATCTAGTTATATTTTATACCTGCAATATATTTTAGTTCAATTAGGCTTATTTCAAGTGCTAAGTAGCCATGCTGGAGTGTAAAAACCTGCATGTGGCTTATAGATAGACACATGAGGTGGGACCATACATCCCAGAACACTGGCACTTGAGCCAGGCAAAGAGAGTGTCAACATAGGGGAATAGTAGTCCAGTGTAGGATGTCAGAGCCTAATTAGGAGTGAGGAGGGTACTTGCACATCAAGGTAGCCCAGGACAGTGTATTACAGATCAGGGTCAAAAAGGTATTCATGCAAAGGGGACAGCTCAATTAGGAATAAGGAGGGTGTCCCCATAAGTGGGGGAGGTCATTTGACATGCAGTTGGAATCTGAGTGGGACAGGGAGAATGCCACATAGTGAGGACAGCTTTGTGCCATGTTTTGGTACCTTGGGAAGGTGAGGGTGACTTCTTCATGGCAGAGTGGCCCAGTGCAGGATCTGAGAGCATAAGCAGAGTCAAGAGGCCATCTAAGTGGAAGTGCAGCAGCCCAGTACCAAGTGTTGGAGCCTGAATTGAGTGAGAAGGGCATTGCTTAGGAGAAGGAGAAGTAGCAATGGAATCCTTGTTACATACAGGGTAATTAATCAAATAAATAAATATATTAAGGAGAATGGGAGCCAGTTTTCTTACTGTTAGAGAACAGAGTCGCAAATATGGAAAAGATGAAAAGTAGAATAAACTCTGTGGCGACAAATTGAAATTCGACTTAACAGGGCAAACTCATATGTTCAATACATGCATATATAATAGTCATAAATATAGATGTGAAAATATATGTGATATGCCTATGTATATATTATATATATGTGTGTACATACTGAAATATTTTAATACACATGTATGTACATATATTCTTAAGCTCTGTCCATGAGAGGATCTGGGAACAGGGAACTCCAAAGCCAAAGAACACACCTAACATTCAGACCTTGTTTTCTAAAAATCATTCTCCTTTAAAAGAAACTAGGGCTGATTCCAAGGGCTGGGACAGAAAAAAGAGGACAATATCGGCCTAGGTCATCTTTTTATGACCGAAAAAAATGGAATGGCTCAAAAAATGATGGGAATATGTCAAAAGGACACTGAAGCAAACTTGAATGGGCTCCTGCTGGCCAAATCTGGGACAATTTGAGCATCAAAATAAATGGTAATGGGTTATAATAGTTATAATATAACCCAATGAGTAGTATGGGAAATCTGAATCCATACTAAGATAATAACTGATGTATTATTATCCATCAAGGTGGTTTTTAATAAATAAATAAATGATGTATAAATGAAATAATACATGAGTATGAATAAATGAATAAAGAAAAAGTTTGATGTTGAACAGTATATTTACATAGTTTCAAAGCACCTCTCCACAAAATACTTAAAAAGGGGAGAAAGAGTACCTTTACAGTGGTGAAGCCTGGTGGAAAACATCTTAAGCAAGCTAATCATCACTAATGGGACAAATCAAAATTATATGTGTTAATGGAAAAACCAAGCCCTGTCAAATATTTTTATTTTATTATTTTTTTTATTTTTTTTTGAGACGGAGTTTCGCTCTTGTCACTTAGGCTGGCATGCAGTGGTACGATCTCGGCTTACTGCAACCTTTGCCTCCTGGGTACACACTCAAGAAAAAGAAGTGCAAGTGTACTTGAGAGAATGTCATGCAGTGGGGTTTGGGGCTGCTACCTTTATGGGTTTCTCTAACCAAGGAATGGAATATTCATGGAAATTCCTGGAAAAACGTAGAGATTTATCAGAACTGTGGTGCCACCCATTTTTACATCAAATACAGGTGTTCCTGGAACTTGCATGGTGACACCAGTTTCTGCCAGTTTCTCTCCAGTGAAGAACCCCCAACTGGGCATCCTGAGGGTGCATGTGTCTCCCTTGAGGCTTCCTGAGGCAGGGGCATGGCACCTCCTCCATGTGCCAGGGGGTGAGGGGCTGAATAGGGTAGGGGGTTGGGGGGAATCCATGTCGTTGCTGCTCCTTGCTGCCATCCAGAGTCCTTTGCTAACTGCTGATCCCCTTCCCAAGATGGTGACGATCTGAGGGTCCGACACCTGTAGAGGTGTGTGTGGGACCCCCAAGTTTCCCTGCAGTGATGGTTCCTATCTCCATCTCTGGACTTCTGGGTTTACAGTGCATCCCAAATCTTTCTTTGTTGTGATAGTGACACCACGGGGCTCTCAGGATGATTTAGGCACTGTTCTTGGAGTCCTGTAAGTGAGGCCAGGCCCATGGAGCAGAGTACCTGCCCAGGTGACAACCATGAGTGGGGCCTCTCAAGCTGGAAAACTCAGGAAACCGATTCCTCTGAAATCAGCCCCTTGATTTCAGCCTGGTGAGACCCATTCTGGTCATATGACCTCCACAGTTGTCATCAGCTTGTGCCATTTTGAGTCACTGCATGACTTGTTACAGCGGCTGTGGGACACTAAGACACCCCCTGAGCCCCAAGTCTGTGGTGTCACTGCTTCATCCTGGCCCTGCTTCTGCTGGAACTGATGCAGCAGCCTGTTGAGTCTGACTGGATCCTTGGTGGCTGTTGGAACTTTTATCTGAGAAACCCAGGGATGCTCGCTCTGTGGTGGTCATGATCTTGGTCCTCAAAGGGACAGACATGCCCATACCTCATACCTGTCCACACCCTCAGCTTCTCCATCCAGCTCCAGTGAAGCATGAGCGCCCAGCTCAGGGTCAGGTGCCAGTCTCTTCCTGCCCTTGGCAGGCCCCCAATACATGCCAAGTTCTACCACATGGGACACAGGCAAGCAGGGCCCTGCAGCCTGCCAGGCTTATAGCATGGATGTCCTGTCTTTTCACTTTCTTAGTAGTGTCTTTTGATGCAAAAAAATAGTTTTCATTTCTGCCGAAGTACATTTTATCTGGTTTTTTTCTTTGGTTGCTTATATTGTTGGTATCATAGCTAAAAAACTATTATCTAATCCAAGGTCATAAAGATTTATATCTGTGTTTTTGTCTAAGATTATAGCTCTTACATTTAGGTATTGGTCCATTTTGAGTTAATTATTTATGGTGGTGAGAGGGTAGGGGTCTAGCTTCATTCCGTAGCACTTGGATATCTAATTGTCCCAAAACCATTTGTTGAAAAGACTGTTCTTTCCTTATTGAGTTGTCTTAGCACTGCTACTGAAAATCAACTGATGATGAATGTGTGAGTTTGTCAGCTCTCAATTATATTCTATTGACTTATGTATCTATTCTTAAGCTATTACCACATAGCCTTGATTACTATAGGTTTGTAGTAAGTTTTGAAATTGGACAGTGTGAATATTCCAAGGTTGTTGTTCTTTATTGAGATTGTTTTAGCTACTCTGGATCCCTTGCATTTTCATATAAATTTTAGGATCAGCTTGTCAATTTCTACAAAAAGGTAGCTGGAACTTTGAAGGAATTGTGTTGAATCATCCATAGATCACTTTGGGGAGTATTGACATCTTAATATTATGTCTTCCAGTCCATGAATACAGGATGTCTTCTCATTGATTTAAGTATTTAATTTGTTAAGTAACGTTTTATAATTTTAGTGTGCAAGTCTTGACTTATTTTGTTAAATTTATTCATAAGAATAAATTTTATTCTTTTTGATGCTGTAGTCAAGGGAATTGTTTTCTTAATTTCATTTTCAGATTTCTCCTGTCTAATGTATAGAAATAGCAATGTTTTTTTGCATCTTGATCTTTTATTTTTTGTATTCAACCCTGCTGAACTTGCTTTTTGTTTTTAACCTCTAATAGGTTTGTGTGTCCATTCCTTAGGGTTTTCTGTGTAAAAGACCATACCATCTGCAAATAGAGATAGTTTGATGTTTTCCTTAATAATCGAACGGCTTTTATTTCTTTTTCTTGCCTGATTGCATTGGCTAGACCCTCCAGTAACTGTTGAACAGAATTGGAAAGAGCAGATACCCTTCTCTTGTTCTTTTAGGGGGAAAGCTTTTCAATTTTTCACCATTAATTATAAGATTGGTTGTGAATTATAAGATTTATTGTAGATGCTCTTGATTAGGTTGAAGAAGTTCCTTTACATTCCTAGTATTTGAGTATTTTAATTATTAAAAGG